CGGTCACAATCTGGTCATCTTCAGTAAAATTACAAATATCAAAAAAGAAATTAAAAACTCGAATTAAAGAATAAGGTCGACATAAGAAGATTCACCTCCAATATGTCAGTAATTTCACGCCACCAAGTTAATGAGATGCATGAATTGGATTGGGATAATATTAGAATTTTAGACACATAACAATCATTAGTAAAAAGAAGAATTTCTGAGTTGATATATATAAAAAGCCAAATAAATAGTATCAATAAATAAAGTGACACTTAAGGTTTGGCCGATGTTTATCTGCTTTTTCTAAAGAAAGAATCTCTCTCACACTTAAAAATAATTCTAGAATAATCTAAACTTTTGACACACATATAAATAGCGGGCATATATGAAGATAGGGACAATTAATAATACACAATGTCACGACGAATTTCCATCTGCGTGAGGAAAGTGCCCTTTGTAGTCACACTTCAAAAAAATCACACGATGGTTACTCAGGATTAAAATGACCTAAACCATCTTTAAAATATTACTAAATCAATAATGTTAGTTGCATAGATTTAAAAAAATTATAGTATGTAATTTCATTCTTTTAGAAAATGAAACAATGGTGTTTTAGTAAAAAATTTAATTTTAACCCTAAAAAAAACATACACATGTAAAATTCGGAAAAATGTGATTTTTACTTAAAAAATCATAACTTTTTAAATTTATAATATTTTTAAATGCAGTTTTAGTACTCTTGAGATGATATACTTTCAAAAAAAAATAGTATGGTTACACATGTTTTCAAAAAAGGTATTTATTTTGAAGGTAGAAAATAGTCGGTTTTTAAGTGTAAAAAATATGTTAAATTCAGGTAAAAAGCTATTTATTATTGATTTAAGTTATTATTAATGTAAAAATTATTATTATTATTAATACTGAAAACAAATATAAGTAAAAAATGTACCCCTACATACCGATGCGACCTTGTCTTGATGCGGGGGCTCATCCCCTGGCTGTCCTCTCGTCAGAGCTGCCATCGGCACTTACCGACAGGGCAACCAGGCCTGAGTAACGGCCTCGGATGCTAACAATGTCTTGTACAGACTCTCCCGTTATTTCCGAGGAGTTTCCCCGGAGCATCGCCCCCAATGTGCCGATATGGGAAAGCAACCCAACTTTAAATACCTGGTGCCGTTAGGGGGAGATTACTCTCTACCTGGGCGCGGGTGCTGCCGTAGACATATCGCCACATCGTTGAGTGTTCCTGATGCGGCTTAATACAGGTCACCTGTACGCCTCTTCTCATTAAGGAAGCGCATAAACCTCTAGTAAGAAAAAATTGTAAAATCCAGACGAAAAACTATAAACCCGGAAGGAAAACCGTACACCCGGCTTGGAGCGGCTTGCTAAACAGCTCAACTTCATGATTCGCTGCTATGTCCTGTTATAGTACCACATTGTTACAGCTGCAGGTCGTCAGAATCTCCGGGTCGGGGGAGTTGGATGTCAGGGCGTTTCTCCTGCTCGGGCAAAGCACTTAAATGTGAGTGTATCATGCGATTGGCAGATCCCTCCTCGGTGTGCCCCGCAGGCGCTAAGAAACAAAGTGCTATTACTGCGAAGACGATGCAAGGACCACCGGACTCGCCGACGAATGCGAAGAAGAAACCCGAAGAGACCTTCCAGTTAAGGGGAACAGTGAGGTCCCCGGACCTTTTGTACTTCGCACTTGGAAGATACTGACATAAAAGGTGTCGAATACATACGAAATAACAACAAACTCTCAGTACATCTCAATCAGAAGGTGTCGATTAGCCTCACTAATTTTCTAGAGCACAAGGGCGAGCACGATGCTCTGAGCTCTGAGGGAAGGGGTAGGTTCTCCAATCTCGACATCCCCCAAGTCTCCAATCCCAGAACCGAGACCTCCGGCAGCGCTTAGGCTCGGCGCCTTACAAAAGGAAGAAGGAAAGAAGTAAAGCTGCAAATGGTACCGGCAGTGACGACGGCGACAGAGGGAACCCGAGGAGCGGATCGGAACACTCCGACCACTCTAACGAGACCAAGACTTCTAAAAAGTCAAAAGCACTCATCGTCTCCTCTGACGAGGAGATAATAGACGCTACAGGCATCCTAGAGCCGACGACAGAGGAATCGAGTCAAGGTCACCAGCCAAATAAGGAGAAATTTACTGCGGAGGTCCTTAATTAGAGGAACATAGAGAAGAAAGCCAGGCATAAGGGATAACATCTTCATCATTGACGGCCAAAATCCTGTCTTCAATATAGAACGAAAAGAGAATGGAGGACACTCTTGAGGAAGAAGAACATAACCAGTAACTTTCCGAGGCGGCGACTGCTACAATTGTGATCAGTGCAATTGTCAAATCGGTCAAGCGGTCGAAAAACAAGGGTGGAATTGTCTCCCAACTTTGGAAGACAACCACAACGCTCATGGCAGTCTGTAATGTTCTGGGGCGAAGAGCTGTCCAAAACTTCGAGGTGATTAAGCGGGTTGAAACTACCGACAACAGAGTCTCAACCTGTCAGGAAGAAAGAAGACGGTCACTTGTAGTAGAGGTGGCCCGTCTTCAAAAAAAAGAGAAAGAAACTCAAAACCGAGCTCGACAACATTCGCTATTGTCTTGAGAAAACCAGATTACAAAAGGAAGCAACCTGGAGCTTCACCCTTTGCCCTGAGGAGGGCAACGTTAGCTCGGAGTTCTTCAAACTCTCTCCACCACCTCTGCCACAGAGATTCGAGATTGCAGACGACGCGGGCGAGACGTCCAGTGTAGATATAGTGAGCATGGAGATCCATCGTCCGCCTTTCTCGCCCTTATCACCTTTGAGTATGGAAACTCCTTCGGAACTGTTGCTGGATGCTGGATGTCCACTTCGAGTCGAAAGCCTCCTGAGGAACCCAAGGGGGACGTCCTAGAAGAGGTCATCGAGAGTTTTGGTCAAAATATTGGTCAGGAAGAGACTCATCCATTCCGGCAGGGAGTCAAAAACTCCTAGCAAGAATGGCGGAGGGAGGGGAAGGGACAAGGGGAATCTTTCTCCCCTACCCCACTTCCACCGAGCAATATGACGAGCTCCCACCGGAACATAAAGGCAGCCTCAAGCACTAATTAGGGTATCTCCAAGGCAGTGGCTTCAGTAGTAAAGGTAAGCCAATTCTAAACATTCCGCGTCCATTGACGTCATCCTCGTCCCCGCACCCGTAGTATTCTTCTCATCCCCTACCTCATGACAACATCCCCCGCGACGCCATTCCTTTGTGACATCGTCCCCGCACATCCCCGTGACGTCATCTCCCTCGCCTAGTGACATCACTTCTGTGACGTCACCCCTCCCACTCTCCAGTGACATTGTCCCCCTCATCTAGTGATGTCACATCCCTGTGACGTAATTCCCCTCCTCTCCGCCATTCCCTTTGTCTAGTGACGTCATCATCCTCCCTGTCCCCCGTGATGTTATTCCCCTTGCCCAGCGATGCCATCTTCTGTGTAGACTTCTCGCCCTATGATGTCGACTTCTCGCCCTGTGACACGGGCAGTGGCCGCCGACGCCGCCGTGCGCTATATACTTACCATGTATACTTACCATTTATACAGTCCAGCAAAATGATCTCCCACATTTTAATCTTTAATAAAAACGCCATTGTAAATGCTATTTAGATTTTATTTTTATTAACTGAAAATTTATGCCATTTGTTTTTATTGAGTTTTGAAAATTACAGAGTCCAAGTGACGACCATTTTTTTCGATACACGGCTAGGAGATCGTTCAACTGCTTCTCTTACAGCTGCAACATTTTCAGGTGTCCGAACACTTCTGGGTCTACCAGTTGATTTTCTTTTTAAAGCTGAACGTGTAGCTCTAAAATTTGAAACCCACAACAGTATTGTTTTGCGATCTGGAACTGGAGCATGCGCGAAGTGAGTACGAAAAGTTCTTTGCATCGTAATCACAGATTTGTTACTTTTCATAAATGTTTTGATAACGAAGGCACAATGCTCGCCCGTCCAATTCATGACGACAACTGAAATGGCAAGGAGCGAGCTACTAACCGACTACGCTAAGCTCCCCCTCTCTTCAGTGGTTCGAGGACAGTGGCGGTGCAAAATGTGAGAGATCATTTTGCCGGACCCTGTACTTACCATTTATACGCACCGTTTTTTCTGCGTACTGCCATCTTCTTCTCGCACGAGAAATGTTTTAATTATTTATTCATTTTATTTTATTATACTTTATTTTATTTTATAATTCGAAAATTGCGAATCTTATGCATAATAATAACAGCGCAATTTGTCCATATCGTCCAACGCGATGGTGTCACGCGTAACGTAATATTGCAGAAATAATGGATAAGCGAAGAAGGATAAAAAGGAGAAAGGAATAACAGCACAAAACTGAAAAAACAAAGAATTCAAAAACAATATTACAAAAACAATAGGCAACTAAGAACTAATACACAGTTATTATTAATGTACGTTACAATTCATCCTTATTCTTCACCTGTACATATATTTCCGACGTTTCGGCCGTTTTTTCAGCCATCGTCGTGGTGTAACATTCAGCACAATATTTCAAAATTTAACTACAATTATTGTAAATAAAAGGAGCAAATAGTTAACCTCAAGCAGTTCTCCATTTTGATCATATGAATGGTTCTTCTTAACAAATCAAGATTTGTAAAATCGGTTGTACTAATAACTTGCACCTCCATCTTGTTACGCACAATTAAAATTACAAATTATATAAAATTTATCGATTAGACACGGACGAAAACACATATTTAATCGACAAATTTTAAATCATGTTCAAATAATGATGCTTTCCAATGCTCGCAGCATTGATAATTTATTGATCTCGTTTAAAGCAACATAAGGTATCCGCCACTGCACTTTGAATAATTCAACTTTAGGCTCCGTCACAGGATTTCTCACCAAACAATGGTAATTGTCGCGCTCATATCAAAATCAATTCATGGCGAATGTTGATGACCACACGTTTGTAATTTTCACAAAAGCTCAACAGCTTGTTGAATGCAAAAATTAAAGTGTTCTTCCTCCATGTCAGATTTAGAGTTCCATTCAGTGTTCAGCGCTATCAAAGCTTTGTCGTACGTCATCGACACGTAATTCTTGACGGTACTAGTAACTGCAACGTTTCTGTTGCAGTCAATCTCTACACGATTGAATTTATATCGATTTCATCAAACATGAATACTAAACAATTATTTCCAAGCGTCGTCGGCAACTGATCGTTTTTTCTTCTTCATCATCAATCTTCCTTCGACGTAAAGAAAACTTTCGCACGGTAACGTGTACAAATCCTGCTGCCTGTATGGGTCTCCGTATCTCGCTATGTCCAAACATAATGTTGGCGTACGGATTGTACATATGAGTCTCAATGGGACTTAACGATGTGGTTGTCAAAGATAGTCTCACCGATAATATCAACCATTTCATACGATGAAACTCAACGACCTTAAAAATGCAACGTGAGTTGAACGCAATGAGTTCCTTTCCAGGTATAGCCTCTCAGTTAAAAGGTGTATCTCTCGTCTATTTAGGTTGTTCGTTCAACACAAGCATCTCACGTCGTACGTGCAACCCAACGGTGAGTTCTTCTCCACGAAAATCGAGCAATCTGCCGTCTTGGTCTACCACATGAATCGTCAGATCCTTAATGCTCTGTACGACGATCGGAAAGTGAATGAAATAATCTGTCGGTCTTTCCGATATCTTATATCCTGGCGATATGCTCGGTGAAAACTCGTGTATTGTGTGCACGCATCTATCGTTGCTGTACCCATGGTCACGTTGCACTCGATACGAATGATATTTAGTTGATGATATTTATCGGCATATTCGACTTGTGCTACTGCGCTCCAGCATGCGATTCAACGAAAATCCCAGCAGCAAGCCAATGCTGCGAAGTTTTTTAAATTTATCCGATAGGCGATTGATCTCGCTTCTCATCGTATTGTTGTTGGCACGAATCACCAGCGGGAACTCTTCGTCCTCTTTGCGTTTCGCATTGTGAGAATATAAAATTTTGCGCTTCGTACGAACTGCTCTATATCGCGATCCTTCGGAAATGACAATTTCCTCGTTGTTATAGTCAAACTTGTTGTTTGACGAATTTACATTGGCTGTAATGTAGTTTCAAAGTTATAATATGTTTCAAAGTTCGTCAGACTGAGCTCGTAATCGTCGTCGCCCAAATCTATCGCTGGAAAGTAGCTCACGACAAGGACGTTACTCTTACCAATTAGCGTAAACGTCAGTGACACATTTGAACGAACATTGAATTAAACGACGCAATGTCGGTCCTTAAATTGCTTATCAACCGTCCACAGAAACTGTAGACAAAGCTGTCCGCAATTGTTCTGATTGTAACTCTGATAAGGCGTGCGATTGTACTCGATTACACTGTTTGTCAGATACCGTTCAAGTTCCTTTGATGGTCGAAGATAGCCGAAACCGGCTATCTAAAATACATGATGCGATTCCCCTTTTCCGTCATTCATTTTGCGTACCAGATCCCTCGACATTGTCCAGATTTACGATACCGCTCTTGTTTCGACGTGCTCCTTCGACCGGTGATGTAATAAAGATACCTCTGAAATACGGAATGCGCATATGATTTGCAAGATGTTGCAATTGCACGTTGGTAGTTATTCCCCTCGGCATTTTTAACGCTTCATTGGCATTGTTTTTTCTACGCACGTCGCCCGCGCTTGTAGGGTCGCGATCTTACATGACGCAATTATGACATTGCTGTTCATCCAACGTTACACTGCTTTGCTATTGTTTACGGTCTTGACGACTCCCGCCGCTCCACCGATTAACCGACCCAAGAACGGATAGGACGCCGCCGCGTTTCGCCGTCGGAAGTATCTGCTTACTCTTTTTCTTCTTCCTAGTTTTCAAGCCCATACTGATTCGTTTTGACTTTCATATCTGCCCAAACGGCTGTGGCAGCGGCTCTCTTTTCGAAAGTCGAATCTCTCGCGATAATGCGTTTGCGCACCTTCTCAGCGAGTATATTGTCAGCCGCGTGTCGTTTAGCAAAATCTTTGCTGTGCGAATACGTTATGTCATGTTTACGATACGCAGCATCCAATAGATTAATACTTCGATCACCTTTGGCCAATCGCTTCTCCAAACCGTAAAACTATCCGGGAAAATGCAGTTCAAAAGGAAGTGCGTTTGTCGCACGATTTAACAAGCCTCTTGACGGCATTCGCCACAATTTTTTATCAAAAGCGCTGGACTATTGGTATGCGTTTGATAAGTTGTCAAATTGTAATGCTTTAAGTACCAACAATATTTCGTTATCGTTGTACAGTGCATTGCACGAATACCTGGGATTCGATTTTAGAAATCTATATTTCGTTCTTAGTTATTTTTACGTTCATGATTAATATGACCGGATGTTGCATCAGCGGATGTTAATCATGAATATATCATAGTGTTAGTAAATTGTGTTTTGACAACCGACTGACGTAACCTCAGTTTTGATCAGTGAAATTTCTGAAATATTCCAAAATTTAATTAAAAGAAGTCGGAGATCAAAACCTTTAATATACCAGATAAGTTGTAGTTTTGAAGAAGTATAATTGCTTTTATACTTGCCAATAAGAAAATATACTTTGTAGTCCGTTTTTCTTACACAGGTAATAAAATATAAGCGAAAGGATAGTTAACAATGTAGTGTATGACGAGAAAAGTGGTGTATTGGAGACATGCACAGAAAAATAATCCCAGATGTCTAATCAGTAAAGTATTTCAGGACACCATGTTAAGAATGAAGTTAATAGAATTAAATTCCTTTATATTTTATAGTGAAGATCACAGTCTCGACGTAATGAATGCCTGAATTAAAATAAAATAAAAATATAAACTCCTCTGAACGCAATGCTGAGTATATTCTAAATAAGATTTTAAAATGAAAGATGAAATTACATCAATTTCCAATATGAAAATTGATGCGTAGGGGATTTCATCTTTCAGAAAATTGATCAACTTGTATCGATGTTCTGAAACATGTAATAATATTTAAATTGAAAATTGATACGTAGGTTTTTCTTATTGCTGAATAAAGATTTATATAATTTATATGTAGGCTGCTGAAAAATTTTTTGCAATCTAATACTCCCAGTGGTGCCAACGTTCTGCTACTATCATATCCATAAACTTAGACGTTTTTAACCTATAATTCAGTTGATTCAATTTGTACTCAAGCCAACTAGTTTTGTTTGCATAGTATTGGGTGGATCCATATATTCGTTCGGTTTTTTAAGGTAAAATGAAACAATTTTTTTCATACAAAGAATGAATTTTAATCAATGATATGATTCTCCGTTTTTGCATTACTAACAAAACATTATTAACAAAAACCGAACGAATATATGGATCCACCCAATATTTTAAAAGAAATTTTTTGTGAGAAAATGGAAATTCGTGTGAAAATTCGGGCAATGATTTTTTACGATTACAATCTAACTCCGAAACAATGCGTCGATCGACTTCATTTGGCTTTTGGGGATGAAGCATCATCCAATAGGACTGTTTATAATTGGTTTGCTGAATTCCAGCGTAGACATATCTTTCTTTGTGATGAATTCCGTGAAAGTCGTCCATCCATGTTGTTGCCACTAATTTGATGCTGTGCGTGAAATGATTGAACAAGACCGGCATATGACATACCGCGTGATTCAGGCATCCTTAGGCATTGACATGAAAGCAATACATATGATTTTGCATATGATTGAGCGTACGGAAACTTTGCAATCATTGGATCCCACACAATTTGACCGAAGCTCAAAAACAAGCTCGTGTTAAATGGAGCAAAGAAATGCTCAAAAAACTCAACCGAGGTTGGTCAAATTTGGTCTACAACATCGTTACTGGGGACAAAACATGGATCTATTCGTATGAGCCCGAAAGTAAACAACAATCCACTGTTTGGATATTTCAAAATGAACCGAAACCAACAAAAGTTGTTCGTTCACACAGTGCCAAGCAAATGATTGTTTGTTTCTTCAGTTATACTGGACATGTAGCAACCGTGGCTTTAGAGGACTGTATATACTGATTGGTATACAACAATTTGTTTGCCAGAAGTCATAAATGAAATGCGTAGAACAAACCGAAATCGTCGCATCATCCTTCATCATGACAATACCAGCTGTCACACAGCACGTTAAATCGTTGATTTTTTATCCAATAAAAATCGAATTGATGACTCATTGTCCGTATTCACCTGATTTATCACCTAATGACTTCTTTTCCCAAATATTAAAAAAAAAATGCGTGGTGAGCGATTTGAGTCGCCTGAAGCAACTGTTGAAACATTTCGTACACTGATTTCTGAGGTTACAGCCTCAGAATGGAAAAAATGCTTTGAAAATTGGTTCGAGCGTATGCAAAAATGTATCGATTTTAAAGGCGAATACTTCGAAAAACAATAAACCATTTACCGAATTTTACATGTTTTTTTTCATATTGTTTGCAGAAACTTTTCCAGCAGCCTACGTACATATTATTACATGTTTCAGAACAGACATTGGAGATACAAGTCGATGGACAAATATATTTAAAATATGAATCAATCATGTACGAGGGGTATCCAGAAAATAAGTTCCGTTTTTTTTTACAAATAAAGTTTTTATTGAAAAAATCTAAAATTTACATGGATAATACTTGACAACTTCTAGTCTTTTTCTACATAATTCCCGTCAATCTCAATACATTTTGTATATCTGGAAACAAGCTTCGAAATCCCTTCTGCATAGAAACTTCCCGCCAGTTCTTTAGTCCAGTTAGTTACAGCTGTCTGAACTTCCTCGTCGCTTTGGAAGCGTTTTCCGGCCAAGGACTCCTTCAGTTTCGTAAAAAGATGGTAGTCCGATGGTGCTAGATCCGGGCTATACGGTGGGTGGGTCAAAACATCCCAACTAAACTGATTCAAAAGTGCAGTTGTTGAAGCAGCGACGTGCGGCCGAGCATTGTCGTGAAGAAGGGACACACCTGCCGTCAACATCCCCCTTCTTTTGTTCTGAATGGCCCGACGCAGCTTTTTCAAAGTTTCACAATAGCGCTCCGCATTTATTGTTGCTCCTTGAGGCAAAAAATCAATCAGAATTCCTTTTTGGTCCCAGAAGAGAGAAACCATGATTTTTTTGACGGACTTGACCACTTTGAACTTCTTTGCAGTTGGAGAATAGGTGTGCTTCCATTGCATTGACTGTCTTTTGTTTTCTGGTGTGTAATGGGCGACCCAGGTCTCGTCTCCAGTGACTATAGATTTAAGGAAGTCATTTCCCTCATCCCTGTAACGGTCCAAAAATTCTTTACCTGCAGTCACTCGTGTGGCCTTGTGTAGAGGAGTCAGTTCTCTGGGAACCCAACGGGCGCAAACCTTGCGAAATTCGAGTTTTTCTGAAACGATCTCATGGATAAGACTTCGGGATATCTCTGGAAAAAGGTTGTGGAGTTCATCTAAAGTTAAACGACGATCATTGCGAATCGCATTTTCAATTTTTGTCGTCAACTCATCCGTGATAAGGGAGGGTCTGCCTCTCCCACTTTCGTCTTCAAGCGAATGTCTTCCTGCCTTAAATTCTCGGACCCATCTCCGCACCATAGATTCACTCATCACACTCTCTCCATATACAGAAACAAGCTGTTTGTGAATATCAACCGATTTAAAATCTTGAGCAAAAAGAAACTGAATGATGCCGCGCAAAACAACTCGAGAAGGAATCGGAATGGAGGTGGCGGGACGCGAAGTGGAGGACTCCATTTTGATAACCTCTCCTGACCGTGTTTCACGAGCTACTGACGCCGAACACCGCTCATTCTATTCGGTAGCTTCCCCTCTTCAATGCTGTGTTGCCAGCTCGCTCATACATCGACCTTACTAAACGTATAATACAAACGGAACTTATTTTCTGGATACCCCTCGTAATATATTAGGTGTTGGAATTAATTCGTAGCGTTTTACAAGTGATGGGAAGTACTTTCATTAATGTATTTTTTAATGCTCATGTGAAATAAATAACATTCTTTCATTTAAAAACGCTACGAATTAATTCCAACACCTAATAATATGATATATAATAAATGTAATATAACACATAATATTTTTATTTACATAAATAAACGCCATGCGCAGCTTCGCTACAGTTTACAAAACAATTTTGTTTTGCATAAAATTATATATCGTATGAAATATTCTATATTAAAGACAAAAAAAACGTATATATTTTGTTATAGCAATTATTTCTTGTGCAAACCGTTGTCGAAATGGCACAAGGAAGATGGAATCGTTTTGCAAACTATAGCGAAACTATACGTGGCAGAATAATTTAATTTAGCAAAGTTTATCCGCTCGTGAAATGGTCCAACATTAAATTGCAACAATATTGATTGCAATTGAATGCAACATTAAAACGGTAAATTAAACGGAACTATGGAGAACAAAATTTCGAGAATTAAATCCAAATAGACTAAAAGATTACAGAAAACAGAGGCCCAAAAAAGATGACCCCTAAACAGGACGCACGAATATTGAACATTGTTAGGAACAATCCGTTTCTAACAACAGAACAAGTCATTCCTGAAATCGACATAAATATCTTAAAAGGAACTGTTATCCGTCGATTAAAGACTGCTGGATTAATTTCGTGTTGTCCATTTAAAAAATATGTCCTTTCTAAAAGGCACCGACAATAATAATAATTGATATTTGCCAATCAATATTTAAACAAGCCTCAGGAAGACAAATGGATCTGATCGAATGAAAAAGTAAGTTCTTAATCAAGATTTTATCATATGTTTATGTATCATTTAATAGATTAAACAGTAGAGTCACTGTAAAAATATTAAAAACATAAAATGTTTATATTTTTGCTCCGCCTGACAATGTCAATATTTTAATCGCGAAAATGATGCTTTTTTTTAAATTATAGATCTTCTCTTCTGCTGAGAACGACAGACTACATGTATGGAGACTAAAGGCAAGACTTCAGCCATAGTATGTAGTGCAAGAGCACCACAGTAGTAGAATCTCGTGCAGCTTTTGAAGAAGCATGAGTGCTGCAGATGTGATAGAACTTCACCAGACCACGGCACGTATGATAGCAGTAGAGTATGTCAACATTTTTTGAAAACAGTCATGCTTCCCAATGCGCGAGAGAGATTTCCAGCAGACCAACATCCGACATTACGTTCGTACAGGACAACAGTGTTGTTCACAATGCCCACGTGACACGAAATTGGTTTAATGATCATCCCAAGGTGGAAAAAATAAATTGGCTTTGCAAGTCCTCCTGACTTAAATCCCATTGAAATTTTGTGAGGAATTATGGTCAGGGAATGGACAGCACAGAACTTGAGATGCATTAATCCAGCGCGTAAACAACGTATGGAACAGGCTTCGCAATCGACCTGAAATATGCCAACACCTAGCTCAATCAATGAGGATCAGATTACAACAATGGCTACTGAATTGATTACTAATTGTTATATGTATTATAAAGACGTTATATGTTATGTGTTATATGTGTTATATATTAAATATATAATGTGTTATGTGTGTTATATGTGTTATGTTTATTTATGTAAATAAAAATATTATGTATTACATTACATTTATTATATCATATTATATTACATAAAATTGATTCATATTTTAAATATATCTATCCATCGACTTGTATCTCCAATATCTGTTCTGAAATGTGTAATAATATGTATAAATTATATAAATCTTTATTCAGCAATAAGAAAAACCTACGTCGACTTATGATTTACTCCCCTAAGCATCAATTTTCAAATTGAAAATTGATACGTAAGGGATTTCATTTTTCATTTTAAAATCTTATTTAGAATACTCAACATTGCGTTCAGAGGGATTGATAATTTAATTTTATTTTAATTCAGGCATTCATTATGTCGAGACTGTGATCTTCATTAAAATATAAAAGAATTTAATTCTCCTAACCTTATCCTTAACATGGTACCCTGAAATACTTTATGATTAGACATTGGGATTATTTTTCTGTGTATGTCTCCAATAAACCACTCCTCTCGTCACAAACACTGCGTTGTTAACTATTCTTTCGCTTATATTTTATTATCTGTGTAAGAAAAACACACAAAGTATATTTTCTTATTGGCAAGTGTAAAAGCAACTATACTTCTTCAAAACTACAACTTATCTGATATATTAAAGGCTTCGATCTCCGACTTCTTTCAATTAAGTTTTAATCTTTCAGAAATTTCACTGAGGTTATGTCGGTTGGCTGTCAAACACAATTTACTAACATTACGATATATTCATGATCGCTGATGCAACATACAGTCGTATCAGTCGTAAACATAAAAACAACTAAAAACAAAACATAGATTTCTAAAATCGAACCCCAGGCATTCGTACAACGCACTGTACCTCCAACTCGGCTCGTATGCTCGGGAAATCTATTCCCTAACAGAACTATACAATTTTTAAACTCTAACAGCAGAACAATTTTCAATATATATTCCAGCTCTTTTGAAGTTAAACTGTGCAGATCATTCGACACGATAAGAAACATTTTGATTACTGAGCGATTTCACTCTATAAATAGACCCGCTCGCGATATCGTTTTCAGTATTTTGTGGAAGGAAAAAATATGCGGTTCGTGGGCCAGATCGCGGACGATCAAAATGACGAACCTCGACGGCAAACCAATAAAAAGACGCGTAAGCATGGCAACATGATACCGGCCGCTATCATTTGCGAACTGTCAAATTGATTGCGGCAAGACGAACGTGCTGATAAGCCTATTGGAAAGTCCACACCGCATACGATTCGAAAACGTGTATCATTGCAACAGCCAAAATATCGATACCAGGCGAATTTGCTAGCTCCGATTGAAAATATTGGTTATTTTATATTCTCCAATAATAGCAATGTTATTCCATTGAGCAAGGCGCTTCCGAATTCCATCTTTATCTTTGATGACATGGCATACCACAAACAGGACGCGATAAGAAAGTAATTTGTAAGGAGATGACAGACGGACATCGACTAATTCTATCTCTGTCAGATATATGCAAAGATACCGAACCATACGAGGACAAGTCAATAAGTTTTTAGAAAAACATAGTAAAACACTTTTTTTTTTATCGATTCATTTTTATTTTTCATAGTCTCCTTTCAGCTCGATACACTTGATCCAACGATTCTCCAACTTTTTCAAGTCTGAATAATATGATTTGTCCAACCCTTCAAAATAAACCTCTGTTTCGGCGATGGGCTGCTCTCTGATGATGAATCTTTTTCCTCCGAACCATTTCTTCAGGTTTGGAAACAGGAAATAATCGCAGGGGGCTAAATCTGGCGAATATGCTGGATGGGGAAGCAATTCGTAGTGGAATTTGGCCATCGGTGCCGGGCATGTGTGAACCCATACATTGTCTTGATGGAAGAACACTTTCTTCTTCATAAAATGGGGACGTTTTTTCTTTAAAATGTTGTTGAAACGGTCCAATAAGGCTGCGTAGTAGTCGCCATTGATCATTTGCTTCGACGGAAGGTAATATGAATTATACCACGTGCATCCCAAAAAACTGTGGCCATCACTTTTCCGGCCGAGTTCGCGGTCTTCGCTTTCTTTGGAGCTGATGAAGTCCATTGTTTTGACTATTCCTTCGTCTCGGGTGTGAAGTAATGGATCTATGTTTCGTCCACAGTAATGAATCGACGCAGAAACTGATCTGGATTACGTTGAAACATCTCCAAACATTGTTTTGAAATTGTCACACATTTGTCGCGCTTATGATCCACAGCAATGGTGAGCAAACGCGGCATCCATCTTGCCGATAGCTTTTTCATACCCAATTGTTCGTGCAAAATTGAAATCACTGTGCAATGTGATATGCCTCTGGCCTCAACAAGCTCACACACTTTCACTCGTCGATCAGTCAAACAATATTGTGGACTTTATCGATGATTTCTGGTGTAGCAGTCTCAATTGGACGTACCGAACGAGGTGCATCACGTGTGGATGTACGACCACGTTTAAATTCATTCATCCAATTGTACAGTCGCAAACGCTGATGCAGATGTGCTATGAACATTATCCAATCGGAAATCCTCAACTTTAATTTCTTTCGCCATTAAACCTTTCATATGTAGATGTTTGATCACTGCACGAAACTCGTTTTTCCATTTTACAAAAAATACAAAGGTTGTTCGCTTTAAGCATCTACAGAAATGAAACCACGCGATGAATTCTGCTCAAATTTTGCTCAGTAATCAGCTGAAAGATGCTACTTTTCAAAAAGTAATGTGACATGACACTGCGAGTGCCTTCTGACAGATGTTCTAAGAACTTATTGACTTGCCCTCATATTATATGCGACAATGTAAATTTGTTGATCATGTTCAAACAGGATATATTACCAATCTGAAACATATGTACAACGATCACGTGAATACCGACATGTTTTATGAGAACTTATGCGTGAGACTCGATTATCCACATTATCGATCGAACACGATAGTATTTCCCAATCGGACACGAACCCGATCGGACGCAGACTCGATTGCGCATCGAGCCAATTGCGCACGAATTCGATGACGTACGATTCGATTGTACACAGAGTCAATCAGACGCAATAGCGATCGGAAAAATATGAGTAGATGATAAAAAACATAAATAAGTGTTTACATAACCACGCAAAGCAACTCTCATCCTTTTTTCTTTCCTGTAAAGGGGCAACTTCTATAATTGTACTGTTGTTGAAATTAGAAAATCTCATGTAGACAGTGAAGTG